AATCGTTTAATATTCAAGCCGATACAGAACATTTTACACGCAAAATTACACTCTCGTCGTTATTAAACAAATGTAAGAAACAGAATAAGGCAGGAACATAGCCTGCGTAGCATGGCGGTTTTGTCCGCCTTTATTACTTAGCGCGCCCAACCAAAACCGCCATGCTACGCAGGCTAGCAGGAACACAGAACATGAAGGCTCGTATGTGAGTAAAATCAGTTTTGTTTTCATTTCATCAATATTTTGTGAAGTGTTAACATTAGTACAGTCAAATCCCAGCTAAATCCCCGGTTAATACGGACACTAAAGAGGCCATAGGAAGTATCCGTACATGCTATATTCGTATTAACATGCTGTCCGTATTAAGCGGGTAGAATTTAGAGAAAATATAGGAGTTTTCTTTCCCCAGGGAAAAAGCAAACTGTCAGTAATAATGAGGTGTCCGTATATTAAGCGGGTAGTTTGCGTAGTAGGCGAAGGTATTTTATATTTTACTGGCCGCCTGAAGGGATTCTTTCTTCGCCTTAAAGGCTGGTTTTCACTTGCGACGGAGTCGGAAATCGGAAGCGGAGTTGTAAGAGCGCTTATGACTTATTGAAAATCAAACATCGGAGTCGTGACTAGAGTCAAGATAAGCGCGACGGAATCGAAGTCAGAAGAATCAAAACGCCTTCCATTTGCTTCCGACTCTGCTTATAACTCCGTCTCTTACGATCTAGTGAAAACCAGATTGTTGGAGTCGGAAGCAGAAGCGGAAGGATAAACCAATCACAATGCACGTTCCCATTCCTTGTTTCACCAGTGTCTCTTCTCTGAGTTTACAGAAAGTATTTAGTGTTTTTTCGCCCTTATTGTACCATCGTGATTTAGATCTTAAAATAGCCCCTTTTGTCTGGTATTCGATTGCATTTGAGCAGTCGATCAGTGACATCAATGTCAGCGGTCTGCTCCTCCAGGGTTTTGATTGTTTTTTATATTATTTTGTTTATGAAATAGTTTTCTCTTATTTATTTGTCAAACTCAGATCAATGATGTCTCTCTAATTTTCATTTTTATCATTTCCAACAGTAAGTTTGGAGTGACAGTATTATCCTGTGCATATTCATCTTTAGTTTGAGTTATAATGGATTGTATTTTCTTTATATATTCTTCGTCCTTTAGAAAAGAGGTATTTAGTTTCCAGAAGCCCCGTCCTCTCGTGTTCAGTGTTACGCGTCCATATTTGCAATGTAAATCGTCGTTGTTCAGGATTTTGTATTTCCGCTCCAGAGTTGGTTTTTGCAAGGCCGCCTTTTTTATCTTTTTAAACATCCAAAACTAAATTATAATCCCCGCCAATAAATGACCTCATGGCACTAAAAAATCTGCTATCCGCTCAAAGACCGAGGTAGAAAAATTGGGTCGTCATTGTTTGGAGCATATAAATTTGCTAACTGAAGGTTAATTGTTTCCAATTTGTAATCAGGGGGAACATCTCAAAAAGGATATAATTGCCCATTTTTAAGGGATTTTTACCCTAAAAAGGTCACCTAGGGGGTAAAAGGGGATAAAAATATGCCTATAACCGTTTAAATAGTAAAATACGTTCCACAATGCTATGTTTTTAAAGCGGTTTTAAACTATATTCTCGATGGGTGCCCCTGTATTTCTGCGTCGGTCGGGATAGATTTTCGGAGATTTTTTGTTGTTAGGTGAGGAGGTTGAGTTGACTGAACTGGTCGATATCCTTTTTCTCCTTTTTTCGAATAGTTCAGTCATGAATTCGGCCATTTGCCGTTACGGGGACCTCAGAGATCAGAAGAAATTGCGGAGAACCCCAGTAAGCGTCTTTTCGCCGCCATTGTTCGTCCCAGTTCTCTGGGGAGGACGTTTTGGAACTTTTTACCAGAGTGTCTCATACATGAAGCACTTACTTCCCTCAAGAGGAAGTGTGGAAGACAATGTTGAAGAGTTTGGACATTTTTTGAAAATTTTGCTTTGGTAAGCAAATTCAGCTCAATGTGCACTATTTCAATGAAGACTGCCAAAGCAGAGTTTCATCTCTAAGCTTAGTTTTGAACTATTCTGTGTCTCTGTAAAATGCGAAAGCGCTTCAAACCAACTCTTCCAAACGCTCGAAGTGGTCGTCACACGGACGTAAGTGCCGGTGAAAATGCTTCTTTCAATAACTCTTCATCATCAGGTACGAGGCTTTCAGAGGAAACGCCAGAGGCCAAGGAAGGTATTTTTTTTGAAATGCGTTTTATAGCAATAGATAGGGACAATGCTTTAAGGAGACACGAAACAACCCTAGAATAATAATGTACTTCAATTCAATTCAATATTCTATGACTTCTATGACTATTGGGCTATTGCATTTAATATCCGCACCCCCCCCCCCCCCCTCGTTCTGCGCCCAAGGCGTTTCCACGGTTAAATTATGTATTCACCAATATAAACCCTCATATTTCAGCACATCAACAACACACTCTGTCTCCCTATCCTTCAACACAAAAATGTGTAAAGAGAACCGCAAAAGCCAAAGGAAGTTTTTTTTTTGTAATTGCTTTTAAAAACAAAAGAAGGGAAAAATTTTTAAAGGAACCAAAAAACCCCCCAAAAAAAAAATTTTTTTTAAATTAATTTAATTTTTCTAGGTTTCTAATACTTTTGGGGTTTTTCCTTTAAAATCCCCCCCCCCCCCCCCCCCCCTCGGTTGAGGAACCATGGAATTCTTCAGGGTTGAATTATAAAAATTGAGAATTTCCTTTGGGGTAGAGTACAAAAATATGGAATTCTTTGGGGGTGAAGCTTTAATTTTCACGAAATTCTTAATAAAAATTTTGGATCTCGTTTACTGTGGGTAATGTCGACCGAGATATCGGTTGACATAGCGGTCGATATAGCGGTCGACACTTGGTCGATAGTCGGTCGACACTTAGCACAAACGAGAACTTGGCGTGATGAAGCAGGTCAAAGCCCGTTAATAAAAGATGTGTATTCCTCACTCTTAAAGCATGTCATGAACTGCCTTTTCCTATTCATTATTCGTCCACTTCGGGACTGCGGGAGCAGTCGTTTCACTCGTCCTTCGTTAAGTATTCTTCGACTGCGGGACCACAGGAGCAGCAGATTCAACTTAGGCTGAGACAGGTTCTGTTTAACAGCTAAAAATCAGACGATCGGTGATGATACAAACTGGAAAAAAAAAGGTTACCATGTCCTTAGTTCCCAGTGCTCTTCGGTTGGCTTCATAGAATAATCGCGCCTCGCACTGCCACATGTTCTCCCATCGCATGATAACAGTAATTAATGACGTCTTTGCTTAAAAAAAAAGCCATTGGACTCACCTGATAAATTAACACACGACTGATATTCGAACGATAGTTGACCGATATACCACCGACAGTTGACTGATATACCAGCGACAGTTCACCGATATACCACTGACAGTTGACTGATATACCACCGACAGTTGACTGATATATCACCGACATATGACCGATAGTAAGTCGAGGTGTCTCGACGAAATATCGGCCGATACTTGGCCGATAGTCTATCTCACTATCGACCGACTATCGACCAACTATCGACCGACTATCGACCAACTATCGGCCGACTGTCGACCGACTGTTGACCACTATATCGACCGCTATATCGACCGGTTTGTCGACCGATATCTTAGTCAACATTACCCACAGTAAACAAGATCCAAAATTTCTATAGCACTCTTTCCAGATGTGATCAAAAGTGCTGTACAAAAATTTCATAATTATAAAATTAAATACAATATTGAAAGGAGAAAAAGTAAAAAATAAAATTTAAAGGCTAGTGCGGTGCAATTCACAGGTGAATGCAATTTTTTAGCCAATCTTCAGGGGTAAGAAGAAAATGTAAGTCCTCAACCTGGGGGGTACAGATATTAAATGCAATAGCCCATTGTTGTACATTTGTGTGGGGTCTCCAAACTAGCAAGAGCTTTCTAGTTGGACGTTCTAGTAACAGCAAAAAAAGCAACCACAAAAACTACTCAAATAAAATCATTGATAGATCCAAGCAGAACAGCAGTCAATCAAGTTTGATTGATCAAGTAATATTATTATCTTCTTGTGTCATTTATGTTTATCTATCTTCCTTTTTCTTTCCTCTGCTTAGGGACCGATCGTTTATTACATCCCAGGGGTGGGGGGGGGGGGGGGGGGTAATATTGTCATGGTGTGCTATTTTGTTCTTTTTCGTTTGATACTTGTTCGGTTCGGCTTGCGTTTTCCTGGTTGGCGGTTTGGGGCGGGGTGGGTGTGGGGGGGGGGGCGGGGGGGGGGGGGGGAGGAGGGGGGTTGGAGGAGGGGTACAGTAATAAATTTTCTAAGAGGCTTGATTTTGGGGGGTCACTTTTAAAAATGAACAAAATGTGAGAGGGGTTGAAATATTACAATACCGGACTGGCCTCCTATGAAAAAGTTGTCAAACTATATTATGATTAAAGCAAATAGAAGTTTCCTTCAAAAGTAGACAAAAAAAATTTCCTTTGGCATTGTTTTGTCAGCAACAAAATGTTATCCATATAAAGCTTGGCCCAGAAACCTATCAGCTATTTCTACTACCAGGAATGTAGCATGCATGTGCACACATGCGCCTATGTATACAGCGGAAATCTGGAAATAAATATATAGATAATTATAAATCCTGAAAACATTTTTATCATTAAATTGGCATAAACATAAACGTAAGAACTAAAGGATGTAAGAAGAATTTAAGAAGAGTGTCGCACAAGATACTCACAAAACATCTTAAAGAGAGCTTTGGGGATAAGTATTGGGATAATAATTTGGGAGTAGTTATTTATTTTATTTGGTTAATAATAATAATAATCTTTTTAGAGGAAGCTCCCATCACATTGAGTGGTTTTCAGGGAGGTCCTCTGACTCAGATTAAATATAATTATTAAAATAATAATATTTTACAATCAGTTTTAAAGATTTAACTTTAATGCAGGTACGGTTGATACTGCAACAGAGGCAATGGTCACATCTGAACAAGAGCAAGATAAAACAGCACTTTGTAAAACACCTTCTACACCCTCAGTATCTGCAGCTGGCTCATCAAGAAGATCACGCATCAAGCCAGCAGTTGTGCCAGTGGCTCGTTCTCGAACAAATAATGCCAGCAAAGATAAAGTAACAACTGGGGTTAGACCTGCAGCTGCAGACCAAAAGGAAGCAAATTCGTCAGCCTCAAAAGTCCATAAATCATCCAATAATGTAGACAAGCCATCATTATTCAGTGAAGAAGGTAGACAGTAATGATGTTTTTCTTTCAATGAAAAATATTTTAACAATGATGAACTAAAACTGTGAGATTACAGAACTTAGTAAGTTGGTTTGGCTGTAATCTTACCATCTTCTATATCACTGTAAATATTATTTATACATCTTTCTATCTTGTATACTATTCTATGTCATGCCTGGTCAGACAATCGTACTCCAATACAGAGTTACTACATATGTTAGTCATTAGAGCAACTCATTTTAAATTTAGGGGGGTGTTCCTTGGTGTTGTGGATATGGACAGCCATTTGTGCCAAAGTTACGAATGGCTGGTGTAAATCTAAAATCGTTAGTGCAGAATTACTTATGGTTGGTGTTAAACTGCAATCTAAAGTGCAAAATCACTAATTGTTGGTGTTAAACTGCAGTCGTTAGTGCAAAATAACTAATGTTAGATGTTAGACTGCGATCGTAACTGCAAAATATTACTAATCGTTGATGTTAAAGTGTGATCGTAACTGCTAGGCAGCAATCGTCACCGTTAAAGTATAAATGGTTTGGGTATTGTTCAGTGTCTTTTATAGCCTGTGAGCAAGCTCTCTCCTTGATGATGCCCTGTTACATTTAAGTTAAAATTCCAACAAGCTATATGGCCTTGAAATGGCAATATGAGCGGCGTGCAAAGAAAGTAGTGTCCGATAGCCCGGCGCTAGTGGATTTTGCTATCAGGCTAGTGAATTCTGTTCTTAACTTGCCTGACTGGTAAGTGAAGTATTTTGAGGAATTCATCTTACAGAAGAACCGTGAAATCTATTCTGCTTATCAAAAAATTTGGGGGGCTAGTTGAAATGACGTTTGGGCTAGTAAATTGCTAGCTTCAGCTTGCCCAAATGGCAAGCTGTAAAAATTACTTTGTTTGCACCCTGATGAGACAAATGAAATGGCAACAAATGACATAGAGATGCATTGAAACTAAAATGCTGATAAGGACATGGTTCCCCTCAATATGTGAAACAACAGGTTTTGAAATTCTAGACTTGGGACCTAACCAGCCAAAGAGGGCCTCATTAAGTGAACCTTGGGGGGTACTCTAGACCTGGCCTATCTATAAGTATGATAATTATTAAGGTTTGATCTTCTACCAGATTCAACTACTGAGGAAATCTCAAGGTCATCCTCCCTAAAAGAGAGAAGTCAACAAGCTAACTCCAGATGTACAACAGTGGTCAGCCCCTCGGTTACAAACTCTGAACAAAGATCTCAGCCTGTAGCAGATCAACCAGTAATAAAACCGTCACAATCACAAAATAAAAACACAACCTGTGACAGTGGAAATGAGAGTGGAGCACCATCATCATTACCACGCCGTAAGCGAGTTTTACCCAACCTGGGATCAGCTTCAAGGAGGAGACATTCTTCTGTCTCCAAGGAAAATGTTGAGAAGATTGTTGTAGCAAGATGTGAAGAAATTTCTACTACTGAAAAAGATATTGGGCATGTCAGTGTAAGTACATGTAAGGACAACATTAAAGCACTTTTTAAAGTTTTCATTTTGATGGGGTTTTTTTGGACATTTTTGCAGTTATAGTTATTTATTTGAATCTGGAAATGCACAAACTTCTATTTCTTTTCTCTTACACTTTTGTTATCTGTTTTTAACCAAACAAACAAAAAGAAAGAAATATTTTGTGCACCTATAGTATGTAAGCTGTAATTGGGACATTTTAAACAAATCCTGCTCCCAAAATGAAGCTGCGGTGACTAGTCAAAAAATTATTTTGATGTGTCACAGCATTATGGCACTTAAAATAGGGCAATGAATGCTTTCCTTTCCCTGTTTCCCTAGTTGCTAAAACAATCTTCCAGCTGTTAGAGCTTTTCTCTGAATATATCACATTGTGTAATCCCAGAAAATATCTATACTAACCCCATGTAGGGGATTGTGCTCAGCTCAAAGTGGGGAGCATCACTAGAGTGTCAGTTCTCAGTTTTTGCTCCTAGTTGATAGAAAGTACTTATGGTCCATGTTTAATTATTTGAAGGAACAAAGTCCAGTAGAGTGCACTGCAAGCAGGAACAAACGTTTGCAGAGTTTGCCCCAGGAAGAAAATACAGCAGATAATGGGGAGTCCCCTGGTGGTGTTGACTTAGCTGACCATGAAAAGGACGATATTGAAGAGGAGGAAGAGGATAACAAAAGGAAGGTATAACAAAAGCTGTACATGCAAATTTTATATTTAATCTTGATACAAAACCCTTTGGAGTAGTCATGGTAAATCTTTATCATTGATTCTTGAAAACACTCAAGAATTTTGGCAATGATACTTACAGTTTTTGGGCCATCGCACGCTATGAGAATTGCGTAGCACGCGACATAATTCGTGTCTCGTGAGAGGGTGGCTATTTACTTTTGAGTACATCATAGGCACCTCTTGCGACCGGGAGCCTGTTAGGCAGCAGCCTTGATTATGGAATTTCTGTGCTCATTTCTCAGATGTCATTTTTGCAGGGAAACCAGTGTTGGCATCGTGAAATGTTGGCTGTTTTCTCGGGCTAGTTTACCCAGGAAGATATGAAATTTAGAGCTTCTAAAATCACAAGAAACAAATTCATTCCTATCAATCATGTGAAAATTTTGTCAAATTCCGTCACCGTCCTGCATAAAAATGTACATTTAACAAACAAAATTGTGTTTGTTCTGAACCCAAAGATTAGAAGTATTTCTGCAAATGCAAAAGAGAACTTCCTGGTGAAACTTTTGGTGGTGCTACAATGTATAGCCCACCCAGCCCCATAGCTCTGCAGTCCTAGACCATGAGCATGATTCCTGGCTACTTTCATTGGAAACAAAAGGAAACTAGAACCAAAAGACCTTTGATTCCTAGATTTTCAGATCCCCTGATATTAATATTACATTTATCCAGCAGCTTGAAATTTTTACAACTATACCAGATGACTAATACTCTATTTATAAGGAAAGCAACTCCCCTCTCAACTGTACCATCAAAATAATTCTTGAGTGCTGAAGTTACTGACAAACTGAAAATTTCTACTGTATATTTCAGGGTTTGAAGAGGAAACGAGGTAGCAAGCCTCCTAAACCGAAAGAACCTTCAGATCCCAGTCAGATGACCATGCAACACTTAATTTACTTCAATCCTAAGACTAACCCTATGAGGTAAATCAGTCAGTCGTGTTCTGGCATAAAATGAATATAAAGAACAGATTGTGTAGATCCTCAGGGAGTAAAATCTGCATTTTTTTTTGTTTATGTACAACATCTTTCCTGTGGAAGCTCTCGTAAGTGGACACTCTTGGGAAGCAAAAAGGATGTTGGTAACAAGAGCTGTTCACTTATGAGAATGTAGAAATACAGAGTTTGTATGGGAGTGGACAAAAACGGGGTTTTGTGGAGGCAGCTTTAAGTAGAGCTGTCTGCTTTTGAGAGTGTTCATTAGGAGAGCCTCCACTGTATGCACATTCTTAATGTTGGCATGTAGGCAGCTATGCCCCTGAGAACAAGATGAGACTCAAGTTTTTCAAGCCCTGTTTGTAACACCAAAAAGCAAACTTGAAAATTTGGCTCATGATACTATCCAAGCTTGCCTTGGATAGAAAAGGCACTTGCAGATATCTTATTCAAGCTGGTAACAAAATGGCTTGCTGAAGGTTCTGTTTTAGTAGTTTAAGCTGAGTTGGGGAAAGGTCAACTAAACATGTACAGTGTAGAGTTCCATTTGTTAGGTCAATAGCAGGAAAGCCTACTGAGATGTAGAAATATTGCAATTAAGTTATCACTTTATTCCAATATGTATTTACCATATGTGACTATTTTCTATTCTTTTTTGTTTGTAGTTCAACTGCAGCAGGAAGAAAAAAGAAAAATGATGAGAAAAGAAAAAGCAGCAAAGGAAATTCAAAGTGAGCTTAATATAAAGTAGTTCAACAAGGTAAAAAATAATGAAATTATTCAGGTTAAAAGTTGATTCCAAAATGGTAAGGTTGATTTCCCAGTTGGGAATAAAATAAAATATAAACCAAAAAAAAGTTATCCGAACTAGTGATATACCTGCAGTGCAAACATTTCAAGGGATTGACATACACACTTTAATTTGGGATTGTCTTTGCTATATATACATCAGTGCAAGGCTCTGTAGTGGAAGAAAGGGCAAAATAGAGGTCAAGAATGTGTAACGAGACAGGAAAATATGAAGCAGAAAGGAAAGCCCGTAGAGAATTTAAGACTTGATTCCACACCCACCCTATTGTTGTTATCCTGCTAAAAAGATTGTGATCTTAAGTTAGATACACTGCGAGATTATAATGTCATGTGAGAATGATAAAACTTTGCACAACACTCCTGCGTTAGGGACAATCAAGCCCATTAATTGTGAATTTTGTAGGTTTTTGAGGTATTATACATCATAAAACTTGCACAACTTGTGGATGCATAATTTAGGAAAAAGCAAAAAGAGCAATAAAATCTCTGACAGCTGATGACAGGTCTGTCATTAGGAGCCGGGGACGGGGATTTCCCTCGGCTTCGATGAATTTGGTCCCTGGCTACTTTCATCGGAAAAAAGAAGAAAAGTAGAACCAAAAGAAATCCCGAGCTGTTTGATTCCCCACCTGTTGTATTTATCCGGCAACTTGAAATCTTAGTGACGACCTGTGATGTGTGCAAGTCATTCACCCTGCTCACTTGATTGAAAAAAGCAAATTGGTTTGCATTATGTAGTGCCCCCAGCAGTCCAGTCTCTTGATTGAGTGATAAAGAAACCACAGTTTCACCACTAACTCTTTGCTACCAAGCAATGAAGCATAAAGTGGTAGCTGTGCTAATTTCAACAGACTTCATCACAAAACTCATAACCATAAATAAGTTTTAGGTCATACCAAAATAATTAAAATAACAACTTGCTCCCCACCTTACAAACGTCTGTACAATTTTTGCGACTTTGGGGTTATAGAATGTATCTTCGCTTCCTTTAGATGCATCACTTTAAAACCTGGCAAGTTTACTAGCATTTTAGTCACTTTTTTCAGCGGTGTCAACAGATTTTCACCAAACAATCCTCATCAAAACTTTTTACAAAAACCTGGAAGGGTCTATTATTTAATAATTTATGACTTCTATAAGAATTTTCTTTAAAATATTTGAAACTGAGAGTCACTGTATCATCGGTCCATTTCAGAAATAAAGAGCCAGTGGGAGAAACTAGTACTGCAAACAATCAAGAAGCTGACAGTGAGTCACCAACGAGAACAAATCAACAACAAAACAGCAAAGAGGTGCAGGGAGTTGATGAAGCTGATGCAAGTACTACTGTAGCCCCACGTGTCAAGCTTGATGCTGATGGAAACATAATTGTGGATGAAGAAAGGTGCCAGCCAACTGTAAAATTGCTTTGTTTTCTGAAATTGAAAAAAAAAACTGTTGATTTAATTACTCTTTCTGCAGTTCCCAATAAGAATTTTAGCCTCTCTGTAGCTGTTTCAGAGATTCTGATGTTTAACAAATAGATTTCATGTTGCCGAGCATCTGTTCAGTAATCGATCACAGATGATGTCAAAATGTGGTAACAACAAAGAAGTGGCAGGAGAGTGTGTCGCTGATGTTTTCACCACATTTTGACAACTTCTGTGATCTATTACTGGACAGACCCACTGCCCATACCTGCCACGTACTGCCTTACCTGTTTGAGGGTCTGTGCTAGTTTAGGCGTTTTTTAATTCCCAAACACTACTTTTTGTCTCAGCTTTTTTTGTTTTTATCCTTCTTTTATATATATTTTCCGTGAAAAGTTTTTCATTGCCTTTTCTTACTCAAAGTAGAATAATAGTGAAAACACCTTGCAAAACAGCAAGTCTCTTGTAGTGATGACACACAATGGCAACTCTTTTGAAGATTTCTTGCAGTTTAGGCATTCTCACGTTGTCAAGAACTCCTCTGAAAAGCTTCTCCTACAAGAGTTTAGCTCATGCTAGACTTTTTTCGAGGCTTTCACTTGCTTAATCTGAAATAATCTACAAACATTTTCAAAACCACATGCCCTGTTAAACAAAACAAAGAAAGCAAGTTTCCTATGATGTCATCCACGTATCTGTACTCTAACAGATCATGGGCAACGACCAATCACTGCATGCGTGCATAGCATTTACATCATTGTATAGATTATTATGGTAAATAAACATTAGTATTGATGATCTGACATCTAGAACAGTAATGTTACAGGATATGTTTGTTGCATCCTTTGCACATGCTGTTGTATGTTGTTGTGTGTTGTTGGTAAGTGTTGCGCAAAGTTGAAACCGGTCAAATGTTTAGCCACTTGCAAACAGACGCAACAACTCCCAGCATTGTTGGGCCAACAATGTTGGGAGCTGTTTCATCCATTAGCAGGTAGCTTTAGTAACAAACTTCTGTTGTGTTGCAGTCTTTTGATTCCTAAGGCACCTGAGGAAAACCTTGCTGAACGGTGAGTTGTGAGAATTATTGTTCTCTAAGATGGTTGAACCAGCTGTTTCTTGAATTCTTGCTTGTTTCTTAATTTTAAGCAGCACATCCAGTAGAGGACCCTGTACCCATAGGCCAAGTTCACCGTTATCTCAGTTGAAAGGAATTAAAAAGTCAGTTGTAAAGTTACGCAGTCACTTAGATTCTATTTTATTAGTAATAACAATCTTGCTTTGTCGTAGTGAAATTGTGTATGAAGATGCAGATGAAGTTAACTACCTTTCATACTTGAAACCAAGAAAGGTTGGAAGATGGTCACTTGAAGGTATGATCAGTTCTGTAAAATTAAGTAGAAATCAGCCAATAGATAGAAGATCTCTGTTGAGGTTACACAGGGAAAAGCTTGTTTAAAGTCTTTATTTTTAATTTTTGAAATTCAAAATCCTCACATATTTAAGTCCATATAAAAGCCGTTGAATTTTAAATTTTTAATGTAGAGCTCCGAAAGTCCTTGATAACCTGGTGCTTGTCATACAATGTTTCTACAATTATTGGCGACAAAAAAAATGAGTTGGGACACTTCGCCCTATTAACTGTTTTTTTTTTTTTTTTTATATTTTATTGACTTCAAAAGGAGGAAATATAGCTTTTCTTCCCCCATCCCCTCCATGCAATGTTGTGCTGCTGTTCGAGCTACCCATAGAAAACAACAAACACCCCAACTTTGAATGCAGGGGGGCAGGGCAGGGGTGCAGATTCTTTTGCTCTCTGAAGTTATCCTATTTGAGTACAATAACTCAACAATTTTGTTGCCAACTGTAGATTTTCAAGTGGTTTTATACTTAATTTTATTAAGCAGATCTCCTTTAAACCCGTTCATAATGTTAATATTTGTGTGGTTTTGGGGTGCAGAAGGCCTTGAAAAGAACTTTTGTCCCTGAAAACTCTCAGTCCAACAAGCAACACATGGTTAGACTCTTGGACGGAGGATCTGGATGCCTGAGAAAATTTGACATGACTAACTGCCTTTATATCCTTCATGAAAACCTTTTCACATTTAAACCCTTCAAACTGAATAGAAACCAGTAAATATGCCAAACAACACAGCCATTTTCAGTCCCACGTCTCACACTACAACGTGAAAATCTTCAAGAGCCACTGTTTCTTCTTGCAGAGACACAGAAGTTCTACAAAGCATTAAGTCAAGTGGGAACTGACTTTGGCTTGATGCTGCCACTTTTTCCTAACAGAATAAGAAAAGAACTCAAGGTTTGTTCTATAGTTCATCTTGTTCAAACGCTGTACTTGAATGGGGGTTATATCAAGTTAGTATGTAAAGAAACAAAAAAAAATGGCCACATTGTTAGTACATGTTTCGTCCAACGTAGCCCTTAAGTACAGTCAGCTATATCTGAGTGGTCAGGGGCACCGAACAACTGATTTTTGGAAAACATCTGTTCAAAGAAGCCAATATATTAGCCAGAATTTTTGATAGCTTGAAGGCTGCTAAAAATGTCTAGATCACTGTTCCCTTCATGGAAGATTTTTGAAGCTTATCTAATAAATCCCCTACCATTTGCATCCAAAAAAAATTTTAGGAGCAAAATATGTCTACGTTGGCAGGCCATCTTCAGAGCTCTTTTTTGTTCCAAAACCTGTAATAATCTTTGTACTCAATAACTTGTTGAAATTTCACGGTGCATGCTAGGGGTTTTTTAAATATCATTAATTTGTACCTCTGTCACCTCTCAGGCAAAGTTCAAGCTACTTGGCACACTCCCAAGTAGATTTAACACTACATGGATGGTACTAATTTCAACGTTGTTCAAATACAGATACAGTCAAAACCTATAAGTAAATAAGGACCTAGATTTTTTTAGGTCTGGTAAAAAGGCTTTTCTTTATTATTTTGGGGTTAGTTATTGGTGATTTAGGAAAATAAGATTCTTAATTAGGATCTTAATTTCTATGAAAAAGATTTTGTTATTGACTACCAGGGGATTGTACAGTAGGTTGAGAATTGGTGATAACCAGTCTGCACGCATTGCGCAGGCTGCCGAGAGTTTTGCAAATTTTTTGTTCCTCCACAACATCATTTGGCTTTTTCACTGATTGTCTATTTACATTTTCAGGCCAAATTCAAGCGAGAAGAAAAGCTACACAGAAGTTTGGTAGAAAAAGCTCTTCGTAAGTAAAATTAGAAGGATGGTAGCTGTTTCCTAAACTTCTGAGTTGTTAGAGAACATTTAAGAACACAGGCATGAACATAAAACCTTCAGTATACAGAGATGTGGCTGCAAAAAAAATCTTTGCGTTTGCCATGTCTTGTGACCATGCTTCTTAAAACAAGTTGGCATATTAATATTCATATTGATGATCATGAAGTATTTGTTTAATAATTAATATCAAAAAATTTCTCTTACAGGTGTTCGCAATCCTATTGAAGTGGAGTTGTTTACCCCTAAAGATGACAGAGAAGAAATCGATGATGATGTTGATGTGGCAAGTACAGACAATAGTAATCCCAGTGAAGTGCTACAAAACAGTTTGGAAACATGAAATTTAATATTGCATCTACTCAAAATGGCCGTTTGAGCATATCAGAGGAACATGAGACCATGTGTCATGCCTTTATTTTAGACAACTAGCAAGCTCAGCAGAGTCTATTTTTTCTTTGGATTGGGCATTACAGATCTTTGTTTTGCTTTTGATTCCACTCTGTTTCAAGCTCTTAGAGTAAGGAATGCAGACATATTTTACAGATCACTCAAAATATACCGAGTTTCTACATGTCATGATTCATTGTATATAAGAGATATGAAAACCGTAATTCACTGCCTTGGTGAATTAACAGGAAAAAAAAATTATGTGAAAAAAAATTAATAAAGAAAGAGTTTTTTATGTTTGTTCATGTTCATTTAGATTCATAGCCTGAAACATAATAATTGTTCACAAAAAGTGTTACAGTACTTCAGGTATGATTTAACTTTGTACTATTATATAAGTAGCAGAAAAAGAATATGGAGTACTAAGGATTACAGGTCCTTTTAACTCATTTTTCTATTGACAAAATTATCCTGTTCAGTGCACATTTTGCTGCATAAGCAAGCACTCTTTTAACCTGTCCACAGACGCTTTTCTTTTCTTTTTCTTTTTTTGGAGTCAATAAAGCCCCTGTGGCTTTTATATTCTCACACACACTTAGTGATCTCTGAAGGGAAAATACAGGGTCTGTGAACAGGCTAGCACTCTATTTGAGCTCTCAAGCAAGCAGTAGAGCCCCCTCCCCCCTCTCCCAATTTCTGGAAATGGAGCAACAAATTTCGGTCAGACCAGACTGGCCGGTCAAAGAGGACCACCTCTGGAGGCGGTGAATTTCCATTCAGACCAAAGCATTCCATTTATTTCTCAACCAAAGCTTCGAAAATTTTGGCACAATATTCAAAGCACCCATAGTTTACATTCTAACTTCATAAAAATAATGCAAAGAGATTTTTATCATCACCTTGGAAGTATCCATTCAACACATATTTATTAGGCAGTCCTCAGATGTCTGAGGAAACTTAAGCACAAATCTTCTTAAAAAGACACAAGGCATGATGATAAGGAATTTGTTTATTATAAAGATAAATATCTATTAATATTATCATCATTGTTTTTACTATTTTAATAATTAACATCATCATCATCATTGTTGCTATTACTTAATAATTAGTTTCTTAAGTTATTACACTCCCCTGTAGCATAGCTCTTTTAGTAGATGGCCAGTTGAGTGCAGCCTTCTACAGTCCTTTATTTTGTGGAACCGTCATGAATTTTCTGGATGCAAAAAAAAAACTCAAAATTAAAGATCCCTGAACAAAATTTTGTGTGAAAATTCAACAATTAATGGTTTCAAATGCTCCTTAGGCCCAGGCCAAATGTCGAACTTTTCATGACATGAACCAAACTTAGTGAGTTAAGTTCATGAAAAGTTCGACATCTGGCTCAGTCAAGTTCATCAAAATGAGTTGGGAACATCCAACACATTCTATCCGTCCGCTCCTGATGGACAGAACATCTGAAGATATTTCTGAGGCAAACGTCAATCCTCACATGCAAAAAACTAAACTAACAAATCAAAAATTTGTACGATAATGTATATTTAGCCTCGTGCAGGAGACAGTTTATTAAAATTGAGCTGAATTTGTTGATTGGCTTGACACATCCTAAGTTCAACGTCTGACCCAACAGAGGACCTTAACTTAGGTTGACGCAAATTAGAGTTTAGTTCATCTCATGAAACGTTTCACGTTTGGCATAGGCCTTACATTCAATTTCAAAATGAAATCCTAAAATACAATAATTATTGAAATTTAGCTACATATATTAAAATATTTAAATACCTTAAACCAAACAGGATAAAACCAGTATTAACCTGTTTACTTACAAAGAATTTAAAAACCTTTTTAAAAAATATATCTACACAACCTTATCTCTGACAGGTTTAAAATTAAATTGGAATGTTATTCAGCTTTTGTCTTTTTAAATAAAATTTGTGCCACACCAACAAAACAATACTTCAAAGTAAAGTAGAACAAAGCCACAAGACCAATTAGGACAACAATCATGAGAAACAACACATCCAAGAGATATAACTGAATGAAGGATAAATTATCAGCCTCACTTCTTAAATGTAACCCTGCATTATGATGTAACCCATATTCTATCCAATCACACGCCTCCTCTGTTGGACTGATGCGTCTGTGACGCATCAGTTTTGAAACCTTCATCGCATTTTCCTTGTACTTAGGATTTCTAAGAACTTCAGTTATAACATCTGTTATCTGGACTGGTGTCAAATCTCGAGCCTCCAGTATAACACCCATCCCTGCTTCAAAAACTTTCATGGCATTGGCTGGTTGATCTCCAAAGAGGGGTAGCACAACCATGGGTGTTCCATGATACGCACTTTCAAGAATGCTGTTTAACCCTCCATGCGTCAAAAACACTTTTGTATAGGCAAAGCCTAAGAGGTCGTTTTGCCTCATCCATGGCACAATCTTGACGTTTTCACTGACATATTGAGGTTGTTTGCCCTTATGTTTCCAGATGACCTTGGCGGGTACCCTAGCAAGACCTTCTGCAATGGTATCCACAAAGTGTGATGTGAAGTTTGAGATAACTGTTCCAAGTGAAACCAGCACTAACTCTTTAAAATTTCCCTGAGTTATGAAACATTCTGTTTTCAGGGGAAGCGGTTTAGGTGGGTCTGGAAGAAGTGGTCCAACTATTTTCACATGGGCTCCAAAGGGTCTGGGAAAATCCATTGCAAAGTCATTCGGAATTAGAAGCAAACCAGTCGCCCTGAAAACCTCCTCGAGACTTGTAAATTTACTGTCTTTCGCGTAAGATCTCCAGAGGTCCTCAAAGGGCGGAATAAAGGCAAATTTATGCATTACATACCCGAGAATGTAAAGCATTACATTTTGGACTCTGTGAAGAAATTGTAACCTCTTGGGAAGTTTAACAGTTCCATGTGGAACATACGCAACAGGGGAAGGAAAGTTATGAATAAAACTCAGATAAGGGTCGATAAATCCACTAGGAGTCAAATCTACACGATTTACTTTGAGAAGATCCGCTACAATCGCACAGCATATGCTTGTGATCTCGCAGACAACCAAATCAACTTCCTTCAGGCTGTTCAAAAGCTCATTATGTTGCAGCAAACTCTCACAAGCAGATCTCCAAAACTCAATTCTTTCAGCGATACCTAATCTTCCTTCTACTTCTTTTAAGATGAGTTTTTCTAGATCTCTTCCTGAGATTGCACTGACATAAGATTTAACTTGAAGCCAGCCCAAGTATGCTCCCGTTTCTTTTAGTTCCTGTTCTTGCCAAGTAGGAACAACAAGGGTGTATTTGTAACCTCGTTTCGCGAGTTCTCGACCGATTTTTACGTATACAAAACTGTTGCTTATTCCTGTGCCCGGTATCCCGATGATGTGAGTACCTACAGCTTTGCTGTCATCACAAGGAAGTAGTATAAAGGCTACACAAACAAACAAAATTACTTTCCTCATGGTACAGCTGATATTTGTTCCTTCCGCGTGGGCTTGACTTGCGCCTGCGATAATCGTGTAAGAAAATCACGCAACGACACGCAGCAATGTCACGCAAATCGGGGGTTGTGACAAGTAACTGCGACCCAAGGGAGGTTTTGTGTCCAGCGGTTTTCGTGAAAACAAGGGTTGTCGGGGTTTCTCAGTCCCGCGGGCTAGCAAAAACCGCCCTAAGACCCTGTTTACATGGAGTGGGGGACTCCGGTTTAGTGGGGTAGGTTTCTTTTGTTTTGTGTCAAACAAGAGAAACCAACCCCACTAGACCGGAGTCCCCCACTCCATGTAAACAGGCCCTTAATTAGGTCGATGTTATTTTGCATTTGCCCTTTCGGGGAGGCGGCGGAAGTAAATAGGCTAGTAACAGATATTCACTGCCACTCAAACTAACTGTTAAGATTATTAAGCTTCTCCAGAACTGCCGTTTCAATGACAATGGTCGCTAAAACAGATAGCCTCCCCCGCAGGCGTTGTTAGGGCTTCGTAACAAAAGAGACTGCGCGCGCAAAGAGCCCAAAGGAGAAATTCCTCTTGTGATCTTGGCAACGCAATTTCAACCTCTGCCTTTGATTCAGCCTTCAGAATAAGCGCTATTTTTCGCTGTTTTTCAGGCGAACACAAGGCGGACGTAGAGTGCGAGACACGCCTTATAGGGGATGGGGAGTACCGCAAGCACATCGAAACACCATATGGCTAGCCGGCTGGAGACTAAGGTTGATGGACAAATCGCGGTTGGTTCACGGTGTGGGCAAATGGTAAGCAAAATTTAGGACTGGTACAATTTCATTCCTGAATCGTGGTTGTTTACCACTTACATGGGCAAAACGGCGAAGCCGCGAGACGCGCGAAACGAGGGCGTGTCTCGCGTTTTGCTCGACGGACTACAGAAAAAAGAGAGACTGCTCGTAGTCTACATGGTGCTTATTAGATGGGAAATCCAAAAGTTGTGGTTGGAAAATCAAATAGTTCGCGCCACTTTATTTGTGGAGCTTCAAAAAACATGGCCTGTGACTTAAGGGGGTGAAATTTTCCGCTACTCTTTTTAGTCTGTTCAGTTGATTTGGATATGCATAGACTGCGAGCAGTCTCTTATTTTTCTTTGCAAAGTTGCTGCACGCGAAACCTAAGCACACGAGCGGCAAAGCCGCGAGCCGCGAGAAACGAGGATCCCTTATTGTAATAATAACGTCGTGGTTTGCAATTGAGCTGGATGAGATAAGAACTAGACGGATTTTAAGAGAAAAGACGGACTGCAAGCAGTCTAGGATATGCATTTTAGCGGGTCGTTTTCCCATCACGTCAAATTTTATAGTTTTATATTTTTGCACAAGAGGCCACCCGAGTGGTTTGTGTAAATCGGCTACCAAGCGTCACAATCGTGAAGATAGATTGTAAACGTCGGCTTTTTTTTTGATAGGGCCAATTTTGTCATATTACGAATGTTAACAATGATGATGATAAGGATAAAAAAATGATTAGAAAAGAAACCAATGTGACAAATTTTAAGTGGTTTTCTGAGTAGGTTTCTGCATAAATAAATCGTACCTTTTAAATGGTTGAAAAAGACATAACTTGAATATTTACTAACAAATTGTTGAAAAGGAAACGAGTTGGCATTGTCTGCCTTATATTAGGAGAAAGCTGAAAAGTTCCTCTGCCTACTAACAGTAGCAAGTCAGTAACCTTCCCAAAAATGTCATGCGCAGTTTATACCGATCTGTCTTGGTTAGCTTAGCCCGTCTCTGAAACCTCTGAGTGAAACGACGAGAAAGTGCGAGGAGGTGCAAGGCCGGGGGGGGGAGCACCCAACGGAAGTTTGGGTAGCCGGGGTCTTGAATCCTGACGAACAGCTTTTCATCGGCATATACCCGTATAGGCCAAATAAGATGGTGCCCCCCGGATCCGAGGAAACCCATGCTGCATTGCTCGCTTTTGTAAACCCTGCCCCGAATTTCTTATAGTTCCCGAATTAGACCTTTAGATTAGATTAGATTAGATTAGGTCTTTCGAAGGTAACTTCAAAAGCGTTTGAATCGCAAAGACAACCGTCTCTTTTCCCCGCAGTTTATCCTTTTTAAGCTCGTAGCCATTACGGCTTCTAATAGTTCGTTTATTTCTTTTTATTTTTCAAAATAGTCAAGAAAAACCCCGAATTCAACTTCCAGGACGACGCTTATGTTTTATTGATTATGCATGTAGGAACTAGAATTGCTATTGACCTTAATTCGCTTACTTGAAAATGATATGACTGAAACATTGACCACGAATCTTACTTGAAATTATGGTAATCAATTTTTACGCAGATTTATAAATAGTACTGTAAGCTCGGTTTCGGCATCGCCTAAAGAGCTCTGAAGCCATTATTTTGCCCTTAAAGACCAAGGAACTCGGTAAACAAACAGTAAAATTTATTTTAAAAATAAGGGAAATGAAAACGTAACAAAAAAAAAAAAGGTTGGGGGAGGGCGCACATGAAGAGCCAATTAAACGAAGCACGTAATATAAGAACTAGCATAATGATCTTTGAAACGGAAATTGAATATTTACCCAAGCAGACCGATTTGAGGAAAAACAAAAATAGTGTGTTCTTCTCGTAATATTTGGAAGGATTTCAATAATTTATTTCAGTGGTAAGTCATTAAACACGTGTAGTTAGGGCGCTTAGGGATTAACGACTGACAATTAGAACGTTGACTAATGGCCAACCAAAAAACCATTTTCGACCACGATTGAACAATGTTGACATTTCGCGCCAAAGAAACCCTGCCAAGCCCTTAGGGCTCAGTATCAAATAGCCACGTCGGATAGGCTAAAATGGAAGACAACTGGCGTAAAAAAATAAATAAACAATTTGAAAATTCATAATATCATAGTTTATTTCTCATGCTGCGCTTTACATTCAGCCTTTCTGATTCAAATATTCTCCGGCGCTTATTTTCTTAATTCAGGCGAGTGATCAGGAAAGATCAGTTTAGATAGTATTTCTCCTGATAAGAGGGCGTTTTTATCAGTGTGGCTCTACTCCGACTAGAAGCTTGAACCTATTTGGAGAACTATTTCTTGCACTTTTCAAACGACTACTTCTTTTACGTACAAGTTTTAGAGATGTCAAAGGATTTGTTCTGCAGAGAGCTTCTTCGGTTTCTGCCCTGCCACAGCGACGTAGAGTACCTTCTTTCTTTGTTTATAGTTAACTGCATCTTAAACGGAATTTTGTCGTACTCGACAGCAGTTTTAAACTGTCTTGCAATCCATGCTGTAAAGAAAACCTCCTTTTTATCAGCATCACTGAAAACCATTCTTCTGAGTCTGGCCATCTCTGATCTTGGTATCGGTTTGTTCAGCCAGCCTTTTTTTGTTGTATTGCTGTCGAAATCACTTCGAAACGACAACCTTGGGTGTACCACGTATACAATTTTTACTTTTGTAATTATCTTTTTTACTTCAGCGTCATTATTTGGAGTTATGGCTATAAGTCTTGATAGATACATGGCAATTTATCTTCATCTCAGGTATCAAGAGCTTGTAACACAGACGCGAGTTGTTGCTGGTGTCGCCTCCTTGTGGATTCTTAGCGCGATCCTATCGCTGATATTTTTATGGATCGACCCAAACGTTTTCGCTTTGACATTTTCAATTGCTGCTGCAATCTGTCTCGCCGTTACTTCTTTGCTTTACTTCAAGATTTATATTATTGTCAGGCGTCATAATTTTCAGATTCGACGACAGAATCAAATTCACCAAGACGGGCCTAATGATGACGAAATCAGTTTTGCTAGTAGGAAGTACGCCGTTGGTACGTTCTACGTTTATGCGGTGTTTTTGGTCTGTTACTTACCTCACGCGTTCAGTTTACTGGCTATAGTTATTGGAATTGGACCACATATTATAATGAAGGGTTTGTATAATATATCATTGACGATAACCTTCCTTAACTCAACTCTCAATCCTGTCGTGTATTGTTGGAAGATGCGACATATTCGCCGCGCTATGGTAGAAACTTTGCGAAACATTTTCCGAAGGGGCCGCAACCATAGAGAATGAAAAAATTAACTGACTGAAATTTCATTTGAGTAAATAAATTATATCCTTTTTACTTTGAAAATTTTATTATTATAATGTTTCATTGGGTCCGAACCGTGTTTTAGAAGAAGTTAAGGCTGGTTTTGACTACAAGCCGGGTACTAAGTACACATAAGTTTCTATGACATCGGGGTTTTGGGGGGGTCAAAAGCATACAAAAAGCTTTTAATATTTCTAGGGCACATGTCATCCTTTCTTATCATGATTTATGCCTAAAACGTTAGGAACAAACATGCAGCAATATTTGGCTGGAAAAAATGGGATATAGAGGTTTAGGAATGATGCTTGAGTGTAATGAACCATTGTTTCGGTCGCTGCGTGTTTTTGCCAATTCTACTTTGGACTGAAAGAGGGCGTTTTGGAGAGTTACACCTTAATGACATTTGTTCAATTTTAACCAAATTTGGCTGGTCAACAGATTAGCTTTCCTTCAACAAAGGGTTCAATTTTGAGCTGTCAGCCGTAACTATTGCACTCAGTTGGATATAGAAAAACCGGCTAGCGTTGTTTTCTGACCTCGCAAATGAAACAACAAATCAGATTCCCTGGAGTTTCCTAAAACATTAGCAACAAAATTTAGGACCTGCAAATTTCAAATTCGGGGAAAAAACCGATAACTCTTTTCCTTGACCAGAAATATTTTATTGAATATTCGAATGGCTAGAAAACGTCAAAAAGGTTTGGATACTCCTTCTGTGTGTCAAGGTAATATCAATATAATGTTAAAAAAACCTGCGTAGGCTTAAAAGTCTTAAATCAAAAATTAGATAAAATCACGAACTTTTTGTCTTGGTTCATCAGCCTCAGCTCTGAATTACACAGGGTGGATGAGGGGGCTGGTAATATACCTTATACACGAACACATTTTGCCAATATACCCTATAAATTTACCCCAATTGTTCTCAACATATCCAAACCGTAAAAAGAAAATGTGGTATTCCTTACTGCCCAAATCAATTCTTTCAAGGTGAAATTCGTTACCGGTAGCTCAATTTAAAAAAAAAAAAAAAAAAAAAAAAAAAATTTACCAAATAAACATAAAAATTTACCCCCAATGGTCTCAAAAAATCCAAAACGTAAAAAGAAAATGTGGTATTTCCTACCTCCCAAAACAATTTTTTCAAAGTGAAATTCGTTACCGGTAGCTCAAATTAAAAAAAAAAAAAAAAACAGTATTCCTTATATTATGCCTAAAACCCTAGCCGCGATCCTAATTAGAAGTTCGTTGTAGGGGAGGGTCACATTTTGAAACCAAAAATATAAAGCGAGAGCTGGAATCAGTGTTTTACATTCATTGTCATAGCGATCCCTTCTCTCCCATCTCCCCTTTACCTTCAAAAAAAGGAATGCTTCCTTAAAAGAGTGCACACTGGACGAAAAAAATTGAAAATTGTAAAAACTGAGGAGTAAATCTGGGGTAAGGACCTTGATTTCCATATTTACCTCCGTATTTACAACCCCGTCTTTTTTGGTAGGTAAATGTGGCCATTGCCGTCTTTTCCTCAGATTTGCTCCACAGTTTCTACATTTTTGCGACATATTTATTTGTGAGGAGCAAATTTGGGCAAATCCATTTTTTCGTCCAGTTCAGTAAAACAATAAGACAAGGCGGTGGCCATAATCTGCTAAAATTTGATATGACTTCTAATTCAAACCAAGAGTTTTTTGAAGGGCAAAGCAAATAGGTAAATATTCGAGAGAAGCGATTATTACTTTCTTTGTTGCAGCCAATCATACAGGTTATACCTGACAACAGCAAGTATTAGCAAACCAGAAAGTGGGGGCGGGGAGCTGCAGTCATTTCCCCTTTTATTTATTTATTGTCAAAACCACTTTAACAACAATAACTTGCTTTTAACAGTTGATAAATCACATTTAATATCCACAGCACACAGATTAAAAACCTGACGTTTCGGGGGCTATCCCTATGTTATCGCTCTGACAAAGACTTAGTGCTATATTTATTTACTGTTTTTGTCATTTCCATTTTGATTTTGGTTCGGTAAAATTTTTTGATACTACAGAGGTAAATGTGTCTTGTCATTTCAACTCATCACAACAAAATGTTGGTCTTTCACTCCCCCCTACCGACGCATCACCTTTTTTTTAATTTAAAATCCTAACCTTTTTATTACACTTTAACAAACTCGGCACCCTATGCCAAATTTCTGGCAGCTCATTGGAGTGTGTTAATGGCCCATAACACACGATTAACATGTTTTTATGAGTTATTTCCTTCTCAGCGACCATTCAGTGGTTATTTAACAATTACTGAATTCAGCTTTCATATGATATGATCAAGAATTATCCGTTATCCGCCGAGGCAGAAGGCCGAGATGGATAACATCCTCCGAGATCTGCATAATTCTTTACATCATACAAAAGCTAAGTTCGGTAATTTCTTTGGAAACATTTCCGAGTTCTTAACATGTTACATCCTCGTAGACTTTCTTCAAATTTTGGCCTTTTTCTCCACACAGTTTCAGGATATCAACAGATGTTTTGTCGTTGTTGTTGTTTTGTCTTGTTTTTTTCATTCCCTCCGTTCAGTTTTGATTAGAAAATCAGTTATTTCGTCTTCGTATGGCCGAGAACGCCATATGTTTTTTTTTGAGTTTAGTCCACTCAGGAATAAAAAGCTAGGCTGTTAGGATTTTTTAGGGGAACTTTCATCGGAGGTCTCGAAAGTTTTAGGTGGCTTTTTCGTCTCATCCGAAATAGCCCATTTTACACTTACTGAAAAACGAGGCTCAGGTTGACCTTGTTTTGATACAACCCTTCCTGCTTTTTTTATCATGAAATTAGGTTTTTCTTATGCTAACTACGTATTTTTTAAGCATACTTTTCATAAGAAAAGGAAAGAGGTTTGTATCAAAACAAGGTCAACCTCACGTCCACTCAAAGGTCAGGAAACTAAGCCGACAACTGTAAAGTGGTCTATTGTATGTCGACATCGTTATGGCCGTTGCCTACTCCCTGTACGGAGTCTTCCAAGGCCTTCTCGGTCAATGCACTTTGGTGACGTATCAGAGACGAAAGGTGCAGGAGGCTCTCTCGGATCACATGACCAGAACCGTATATAATAGGCTAGCCTGTTCCAGGCGTTCAGATAGTGGGGTCCCTCGTCAATTTTTCGCCCGCGCCCAACTAATTTTTCGCTCGCTCCCCACCATCTGAACGCCTGGAACAGGCTAATCATAGGCAACTCGGAATAATGAGGCTAAAACTGGGTAAGAGTGGCCGAACTTTCATTACAAGATTCATAGAGGATATCTTGAAATTAAATACCGAAATTTTCATGATCAGGAGACCTTTTTTAACAAAAATCACAATATCTTGGTGATAAAATGTGAAAAACATCGTGCAAACCTTCGAAAATCGTAAATAGTTTAATGCAAAACCTCCAAATATCTTAGACGAATTAAACGGTTATGCAGAAGTTTTCAGCCTTTCTAGAGCTTTGGAAATTTGTAGGCAATATTTTCGAACAGTTATTTTACAGTATACCCCCTTAGCCATTTAATCCCAATATTATCCCGACAGCAGTAACGTGCAGAAACCATAGACTTTTAGTATTTACCAAATCAGTGAATAGCAATTTTTGCGCCTTCTGATTGGCTCCCGTAACTCGGAATATCCTTGGCTACTCACCTACCCTTCGGGGGATAGTTGTATAATAACAGGAGCCTCCTGATAATAACCAGTTATCATCTATTTCATTCTTGAAGTGGAATCACACGGGTAGTTATGGGAACGAAAATCGTTCCCGTTTGATCTTGCGCCGTTCAACCGCTAACCTTAATCTCCGCCTCAACCCCGAGAACACACAAATAATGGCTAGATACCAGTCTCGCCAGAGACAACTGCTTTGTGGAGCACGGAGATGGTGCATAGTGGGCTTCTCACTGGTCTGAGTATCTTTAGGCCATGTTCATACTATACCGGCAGTACCGGAGTCGTGCACACACATCAAACCCATCGAACATCCTGAACATCGTGCTGGAGCGGTTGGCCGAAAGGGTTTGGTGAACTAAATCCCAGTCCTCACTCCTGAATATTTAATTCCGACTAAGTGGATCCCAGTCCTCACTCCTATTTATTCACTTCCGCTACGGTCCGACTCCACCAAAGTGTGGCAAGCAGGGGCCAGAACCTATCCGATTTGTGACACTCTTCTTTCGAGGCTCCGTTTGCACAGAAATCGCACCGAAACTCACCGTTCTTGTGGGTGAACAGAAGCCCATGTATGGTTTTCGTGCCGGCGCAAGAGCCATCCGTTATAGTGTGAACATAACCTTTATTTGGTTTTCATTGTGGTACCTTCAGTCAGATCTAATTTTCGCGAAATTCCAGCTGGGAGCCAGAGAGGGTGGGGAGGCTAGGATCGGAGTACATGCCCCGTTGTAGAAGACTATCGAAAAAAATCCCAGTCTAAACATTGTTAATTCCTCCCTCAACACTGGATCAGGGAATAATCAGCTAGTGGTCAGGACGGGAATACAATCAAGGTGGATCCAAAAGCTTTTAAGTCGCTATCGGTTTGTACTGGTATTAAAATGATACTCGGAAGGATAGATAAACGACAGATGATTCGCTTTATCCCTCGCAGCGATGCTACTGATTTCTTCAACCCGTTTTGGGGACTTTTGTTTCGGTTCCTATTTTAGGAGATGAACTACGAAGCAAGAAGCTTATATATTGACGTAAAATAAAACAAAACAAAAACTCTGGCGTGTTTAATATGATTTCGCTTCCCAGTAAACAAAAGCACCGTTTGCTACTCTTGAAAATTTAGACCCTGATAACAGAAAATAAAAAATCCGCGGTCAGGAATAGCAGCTTCTACTAAATTATCAAGTGCTAGGTATCGAACATATTTTCTAAAAGGAAAACAAAGACAATTATAGAAGTTCTATTTACAGCGAATCGTTATGGCTTGACGTGACAAGAAAATAACTCCC